TGCTGGTTCCGTAAACCACTTAGGGAGGGCTGTAAAGCACTATAAAGCGGTATATAAAAATTCATAAGAATTTCTGTTGCTAAGCAAGTTCTTGTGCCCAATGTTTTCACTTGTTTTCCCATGGTCGTTACGCGAAACACTGCAATAAAGTGAATCATACAATCGTTAATCAAATCCAGATTCTCCTACTGACTTTGCTCGTTGGAAGCCAGCTAGGAAAACCACAAAGGGTGATCACATGACCCTGTAATGCTTCAAACAATTTTTCTCAAGGACCTGAATTTTGATGACATGACTGCTATAACAGTTGTAAGAGCGAGAATCGGTTGTATGCCCTGGTCAAAAGGGCCCAGCAGAGATTATACTACCTGAGACTTCTCAGAAAACAACAACTGAATGGAAAACTGCTGGTGACCTTCTACCGCTGCACCATAGAGAGCATTTTAACATACTGCACCTCTGTATGGTTTGCCAATTGCGCAGTGGCAGATAGGAAAGCTCTCCAGAGGGTTAATGTCATTGCCCAGAGGATCATTGGTTGCCCTCTCCCCTCTTTGGAAGAGCTTTATAGCTCCCGCTGCCTTAAGAAAGTCCAAAACATTCTCAAAAGATCCAACTCATCCTGGGAACCCTTTTTTTGAACTATTACCATCTGGCAGAAGGTACAGAATAATAAAAACAAAGACAAATAGGCCAGTGGTGGGATTCAATTTTTTTTAGTACTGGTTCTCTGGGTGTGGCTTGGTGGGCATGGCAGGGGAAGGATACTGTAAAATCTCCAGTCAGAGGTGGTCTTTTCTGCTTCTCTGGCCTACTCAAAATTTCTGCTACCGGTTCTCCAGAACTGGTCAGAACCTGCTAAATTACCATCTCTGAAATAGGCTGAAAAACAGCTTCTATCCCAGGGCAGTAACTCTATTGAATTCTACTGAATAGTGCAATATTAATGCAATATCAGGGATTTCAATTCAATGTGTGGAGGGTGAAGGATGTGTGTTTGTGTTTATTTTCATGGTCATGATGTGCACTGAAGATGGTGTTTGATTTCGTTGTACGAGATGCAGTAGTGACCATGAAGGAAACTAAACTAAACTATTTTTTCTGCGCCACTGAACCTTCAGATGGTTGTTAAATGAATGTTGTAAGTTGAAGAAGGGAACATCAAAACCCAAGCCACACTGCCACTCTCTTGAACTGCGCTCTGAAACCCTGACACACCATTAGCTACCTTACCAATCTGGAGCCCTCCTACAGACATTGCTGAATGTCAAGGACTGTAGAAATAATGTTTGCGTAACTTGATGCCATCGAGAAATAATCCTTTTCCATAAATTAATTCTACCCATTCAAAAAGAAAAAGAAAAAAACCAGTCACCAGATGCTGCAGAATCAGCTACAGGGAAGACAAAACATACATGTGTGTGTATGTGTGTGTGTGTGTATAAATAAACAAATACAAGCCCATGTAAATTCTGCCTTTTGAAGGTTATTTATATGAAAGTGTCTGTTTGCATTTTTTTTCTCGCTGAAACACCTATTTTGTATACCCTGAAAGCCAACTGGAGGGGCTCGGATCGAGATAACACTTCACACAGTTACTTTACAGCGAAGGCAGCACTTAACCTCTGGTCGACTTTCAGGTTTATAAAAAGAACCGTCACTTAAATGAAAGTTGCTAAACTCAACACAACAAAATCAGATAGACAAGGAGATGCAGCCTGTTAAAAACAGAACTAAACTGACTCATCAGATTATAAACTTCCCCGGCAGTTTTCATATTAACACTCTGGATTATTGGCAAACTCTCTGGTTTCTGCCACTGCGATGCTCATGGTGGAATCCATACTTCCAGCAGGCAAAATTGTACAGATTTCTATTGAGGGAAAACAAGGGAAGCTAGGGAGATACAGCATGGGGGCATCAAAAGTTGTTTTCTCCATAACACAAGAAAGCCAGGACTGGCATCTCACCAACAAGGAAAGCAGAGACACAGCACAAGGGAAGACAGAGGCATATGGATGCCCCAAGGGTTTGTCCAGTGTGATTTGATATCCCAACTATGTTCCCCAAGAGCTCTGGAATCCCTGAGATGCACAATGACAGACCAAAAAATAAATTGTCCGCCTGCATGAGTCTCTCCTTCAACCAGGCAGCCAAGAATTCAATATTGACTTTGAGTTCTACAACACATGTGTAATTCAGGAAGCAAGCCTGGGTCAGTGCATTCATAATACATTACAAAATGAGGCTGGGGTTCTCCAGGAAATACATTTGTGGTGAAGTTGCTCAGATGTATAGCTTCTTCAATGAGTGCTCCATAACAGTGGTCCCCAACCTTTTTTGTACCACGAACCGGTACAATCCACGGACCGATCCACGGACCGGTACCGGCATCAGCACGCACGACCAAGGCAAGGCGAGCCGAGCGACCAGCCAGCCAGCCGTCCCCCGCTTCTCCCCGCCACCTTCAACTCCTCCTTTGTACCTTCTCGCGGTCGATGGGTTTTTCGGGCTCTTTCTTAATCTCCTCCTGAGTAACGCGAGACTCCACCGCCATCGGGACGGCTCTTCGTTCAAAGCCGCCCCCCCTCTTTGACGAAACTAAGGCGTGAGGATTCCTTCAGCACCCAAACGCCGCTTTCCAACCGACGACCGACAAGCTCACCCAGAAGCACTTTCTCAAGCCGAAAAGATGGCGGCGCCCAAGCAAAATAGGCGGCCCGGTACAAAATGATCCACGGACCGGTACCGGTCCGGGCCCCGGTGGTTGGGGAGCACTGCTCTATAATACAGGTAAGTTAAGCAGTCTGATGCCTCCCAGATGTTTTAAAGATATGCCTCATCCAATCTGTCTGGCAGCAAGGGACTGTGGGACCTATAGTCCAAAACATCTGGAGGGCATCCAATTGCCTGCCTCAACCCTAAAGATACATATTATGTACACATATACCACAATGCACTCACTTTTTCTTTTTTCTATCTTCTCATAGCTCCCCGTTCTCATGCAATATGGCATCCCAACCATTCCTCAAAAGGAACTCAAGAGCTTCCAAATTCATTACAAATGAACAATTTGTAATGAACAATTATCATAAATTCTACAGGTAGTCCTCGACTTATGACCACAACTGGGACAAGAATTTTCACTGCTAAGCAAGGCGGTTGTTAAATGAAGAGTCCTTGGTTTTATTACAGATGTTTCATTACCAACAACCAGAGGTGGTATTCAGCCAGTTCTGACTGGTCCTGGTGGACTGGTAGGGAAAATTTTGACTGGTTCACCTCTCCTATATTCTGTTGTTTATTAGCTCAGCTGATTCGCAGGGCAGAGTGGATCGCTGCGCCTCAGCTGAGCTAAAAAACAGCACAGCTCACTAGGGAAGGGCCACCTTTGAGCCCTGCATGCGTGCGATTCACACATTTGGCATGCACGTGCAATAGGCACGCCTGCACAGCTCACCAGCCTTGATTCAGAGGGCAGAGTTTGAGCACTGCACATGCGCATGCAAGTGGTAGGAAAAAATTTTTTTGAAACACACCACCGCCAACAACCATCACTGGTCATTAAGTGAGTTGTGTTCAATGTTATGAGTTTTCCTGCCACAGTTGTTAAGCGACTCATCACAGCTGTTAAGTGAACCATGCAGTCATTAAGAAAATTTGGCTTTCCTCTCGACTTTATTTGTTGGAAGCCAGCTGGCGATCACATGATCCTGGGACACTGCAACCGTCATGAGTACATGTCAGTTGCCAAACAAATAAATTTTGAACACATCTCTGTGGGGATGTTATCATGGTCATAAGAGAGATCACTAGTCGTCTTTTTTCCCCTAGTGCTGTTGTAATTACAAACAGTCATTAAATGAATGGTCAAATGTCTATGGAGATTCACAGTCATCCAGGTCACAGCTGTCCCTGAGGACGTTTCGCTTCTCATCCAGGAAGCGGAAATGAGAACGGTGAGAAGCGAAACGTCTTTAAGGAAAAACAAAGAGAGTCCAGTTGCCTCTTGGAAAAAAAGCACCTTTGGGGGGTCTGCAACCTTAAACACTCAAAGAGCCATTTGGACCTGTTTCCCACAGAAAAAAAAAAAACCCACCGGGAGCCACAAACCTGGGTGGGCATGACCAACTCAATCTCACTCACTCCCACCAACAAGGGCCGGAAGAAACTCCAGCAAGAGTGAGGCACTGGAGAAGCGGCCCAGGCTGCTTCTCCATCCCTCGCTGTTACCCTTACCTTCTCAGGCCAGGCAAGAGAGGGGAGGGCGAGGGACAGGGCCAGCCAAGGATGGGACAAGGAGCCGTAGCAGAGGGCCCAAAGAGCTGCAGGTTGCTGACACACGGGATAAATGAATAGTTGTTAAGTCACAGACTACCTTGTGTGACCATTGAAATTTTAAAGCCCACAGGACTGCGGTGGCGAACTATGGCACGCGTGCCACAGGCGGCATGCAGAGCCATTTGTGCAGGCACGTGAGCCCCAGCCAAACTTACCTGCACTGCGCATGCGTGCGCCTCCCGGCTGGTTTTCGATCCGTTTGAGGTGAGGTCCCAGGCTCGAAGGAAGCCTCTACAGCTTTTGGAGGCCAAAAGACCAGGCCCGTTTCGTCACTTCCAATACTTCCAGTTTCGTCACCTCTGGAATTTGGAGGCTGAAAAACGGGCCCGTTTCGTCACTTCCGGTACTTCTGGTTTCGTCACCTCTGGTATTTGGAGGCTGAAAAACGGGCCCATTTTTCGGCCTCCAAAGGCTGCAGAAGCTTCCCTCGAGTCTCTGGGAGGCCAAAGAAGGCCTCAAACGGGCCGAAAGTCAGCTGGGAGGAGCACGCATACAAAGTGCAGGGTGGCGGGGGGTGTTGCATGCACATGCGCGGTGGGGGGGAGGGCACATTGCATTGTGGGTGCCGGCATGTGCACGTTTTTGGCAACGCCACAACAAAAAGGTTTGCCATACTGCCATAGGACTAAGAGAGAGAAAAAGGACGGCCATCTCCTCACCTGACTTGCGCCTGCAGTTGGAGTAGCAGCTAATCGGGGGCCCGGTGCTGATTTCACAACATCGGTCAAGGGCAGTCCTTCCTCTGCCGTGAGTCCTACCAAGGGGATCAATGAGGAGAAACAAGATGAGGGATTGTCTGAACTGCTTGGCAGATGCATAGGTTGCATTGATCTTCCCCAGACGGGCCAGTCTTCAGGAGTGAAGGATAAAGAGTAAAGATTTTATTTTCAAATGCACAGATCTAGGCATGTGGGGGTCTCAGAGATCACCTCTAGGTCAATAATTCAATTTGTCCCATGGAGGGTGAAGCTGGCCACATAGTTGCAAGTTCAACAGTATCAGTGATCACTTAAGAATGATAATAAGGCAGCCGAGAGAAGAAGGAGGAATAAATTGAAGGTCCAGCACCGGGTTTTGTTTTGTTTTCTTTTAAAAAGGAGGAGCACAAAGGGAAAACTTTATTATAAACAAGCCCATAAACCAGGATCCTTAGCGCACCCATCCAAACCGCACTCACACAACTTGTCTTGTGGTACATCCAAGTCTAAAAAAAAAAATACTTTGAGAGGGTGGGTTTTTATTCGCCAAAGTCTAGAACCCTAACCCTAACCCTGGGGAATTCTGGGAGTTGGTCCAAAAGTCTTAAAGTTGGTAGATTTGGAGACCCCTGGTCTATAATATCATAATTGAGGAGACTTTTAGAATACCACAAAACTGTTCTTGGCCCTACACTTAACACAAAGATACATTAGTTTTATGTGACGTTAAAGAAAACGCCAGGACTATCTCACTAAAGTTGACTTATCATTAGCAGTTACCAGGAGCATCTTTTTATAAGCCTGGTGACCAGAACTGTATAGCTCTAAGAAGCATTATCCAATAAAGCAGGGGTCTCCAACCTTGGCCACTTTAAGCCTGGCGGGCTTCAACTCCCAGAATTCCCCAGCCACCAAAGCAAAGCTGCCTGGGGAATTCTGGGAGTTGAAGTCCTCCAGGCTTAAAGTAGCCAAGGTTGGAGACCCCTTGCAATAAAGAATGCATGGATAAGATCCTGTTTTTTTTTTTTTTAAAAAAAAGAGTCCTTCCTTCCTCATCATCATTGTATAGCTATGGTTATCTCAGCTTCCCCAATAGAGCAGCCTCAACCTTCATACACACGCTGCCCTTCCGGAGATGAAGACTAGAAGTGATTGATTCGTGGAACCACAAGGCCAACAATAAGGAGAATAAGCCATGGGGGGGGGGAGAAGGGCAGCATTTTTTTTCACTGTAAGGGGCACTTTTTTCACTCCATTGGCACTTCCCATGGTTAATAAACCACCCGTACCTCTCTGATTCCTCTCGCTTTGCAATACAACTAGTCCTCAACCTATGATCACAACTGAGTCCAAAATTCATGTTGCTAAGTGAGATGGTTGTTAAGTGAGTTTTGCCCCATTTTGAGACCTTCCTTGCCCCTGCTGTTAAGTGAATTATTGGAGTTTTTAAGTTAATAACATGGTTGTTAAGTGAATCTGGCTTTCCATCGACTCCGGGATGCTGCAACCGTCATAAATATGAACCAGTTGCCAAGCGCCCGAATTTTGATCACGTGACCATGGGATGCTGCAATGGTTGTAAGTGTGAAAAAATGGCCATAAGTCACATTTTTCAGTGCCGTTGTATCTTTGAACAGTCACTAGATAAATTGTTGTAAGTCGAGGACTATCTTTATGGACCATATCAACAGGAGTGAAATTTGCAAAAAGCTGGACTATAGAACTGGGATGCCTGAAGACCAAGGTTGAAGGTTAGTGAGGCAGGATGGCCCAATGAAAGGGGAAGGGGGAAAAAAAACCCAACTCACTGGTCTTCTGCCTCATCTCCACACTTCTCTTGCTGGTTTTACTGGGTGGTGGTTTTTTTTTAAGAGAGGCGAGGCCCAGGAATCAATGCTAGCCATGAAACACTATGAGAGTCTTTCATGAGCACCTAGTAGCACAGTGGTTAGAACGCAGCATTGCAGGCAAGCTCTGCCCACAGCCTGGAGTTCAATCCTAGTAGAGCTCAAGGTTGACTCAGTTTTCCATCCTTGAGATGTCCAAAAAACAAACAAACCAGGACCCAGATTGTTGGGGGCAAGAGGCTGGCATTGTAAAACACCCAGAGAGTGTGGGAAAGCACTGCGGGGAAGTATATAAGTCTAAGGGCTATGGCTGTGAGAAGATCCCAACCCCAAAATGAAAAATATTGAATGGAATAAGTGATGGCTAGCCTCAATTGTTTTATTATTTTATTTGCAGGGGAGGAGATGCTAATTATGTCGAGAGACAAAATCTGTCTTTTTATTTTTATGCTTCTGACTCATTGTGAGCCACTCTGAGTTGCTTTTGTGAGTTGGGCTGATGCACCAATGAAATCAATAGCTTAAGCAAACCAACCAACAAGTAAATAAATCCGGTGAAGATCAACTACCGGAGAAGAAGACGAAAGCCCAAATATTCTTTCTCGAGGATCAAATCTGATCAAGGTGAGACCTCCCATTAAGGAGCAGCTACCTTCAGTGTATTCTGCAGGTAGTCCTTCACTTACCAAGCACAATTCGGAGTGGAAGTTCCATCACTAAGCCAGGTGGCTTTTAAACGAGTCATATTATGGCCTTTTTTTTTTTTTTTTGCTGTGATCATTAAATGAATGAATCGCCATGGTTCTTAAGTGAATCTCATGGTTGTTAAATTAATCCAGCTTCATTGACTTTGTTGGTGAGAAGCTGGGTGAGAAGTTGGCAAATAGCAGTTATGGGACCCTGGGACACTGCAACTGTCTTAAATGCATGCCCAAATTTTGATCATATGACCATGGAGATGCTATGATAGTTGTAAGTGTGAAGACTGGTTTTAAGTCTTTCTTTTTTCAGTATACTTTCTTTTTTCAGCATACTGCAAGGAGTCAAAAAGAGGGCTGTGAAAATATTTACAGGCCCCTCACATCCTGGACATAAACTGTTTCAACTCCTTCCCTCAAAATGACGCTATAGAGCATTGCACACCAGAACAACTAGACACAAGGACAGTTTTTTCCCGAACGCCATCACTCTGCTAAACAAATAATCCCCTCAACACTGTCCAACTATTTACAAAGTCTGCACTACTATCACTATTAATCTTCTCATCACTCCTTATCATTCATCCCCTCCCATTTGTGACTGTATGACTGCAACTTTGTCACTTGTATCCTTACGATTTATATTGACTGTTTCCTAGTATGATTTGATTTCTTATTGTACCCTATGACTATCATTAAGTGTTGTATCTGATGATTCTTGACTCTTGACGAATGTATCTTTTCTTTTATGTACACTGAGAGCATTTGCACCAAGACAAATTCCTTGAGTGTCCAATCACACTTGGCCAATAACGAATTCTATTCTATGCTTTCTATCTCTCTCTCTATTTCTCTGTCTGTCTGTCTGCCTGCCTGCCTGCCTGCCTGCTGTTAGAAGTGTTATAATGGCTAAACAAATGGTCATAAATTGAGGATTGACTGCACTGGCCATGTACCCAATGTTTAGAGTCTTTTCTGGTTGATTTACCATGGATAGCCCTGTAAGCGGAGCCTAAACAGGCTGAATTAGCAGTGTCGATTGTGTACACTGGAACACTGAAGACATCAGACAAGATCTGAAAAGAAAAAAAAAGATCTATCACTATCTGATTAGGAAACGAAATCACTCTGCAGTTTGCTTCCATTATCAAGACAAACAGACAAGATTTGCAGCCAGAAGAGAACCCACGCTGGGAATCACCATTGGGAAATTAATTAAAAAGTAGCTTAAGGCATCTTTCAGATGGAGAGATGGATCAATAGAAAAATGGAATAGGTAATATAGTTAATGTTATAGTTAAAGGTGGCAGATAAGGCTCTGGAGACTTAGGTTGAAATCCATCCTCTCAACCATGGAATCTTCCTAGATGTAGAAGAACATAGAAATAACTTTGATGAAAGGATGGATGAATCATTATAGGAGAAAACATGACTATTCAGGCCTGGGAAAGTGAAAAGAAACAGTAAAAGCTTTTCAAAATAAACTTTTCTTGTTTCTCTTTGGTATAACACAAAATAGGGAGAAACTCCTGTAGGGTTTCAAGATCCTTTTACTACACTGTGCAACAATAACATAAATTCGTCTAATGTTGTAACAACTATTTCCTGGCCTACCTCCACAAAGTGACTATAGGCCAGCTACTCTTTCTCAGCCTACTTCAGGGGTCTTTGTGGTTGGGACAAAATGAAGGGAAACTTTCATATGAGCATGCCTAACTCCTTGGAAAAAAAAGGTGGGATATAAATCTAATGCCTACATAGATTATGGATAGTCCCTGGATTTTTTAAAATCCTATCAAATAAGTCCAGTTTTATGGGAAAATACACGAGGATGCTTTATTTGGCAACAATTCAACATGAGCCAAAAAAATCAACTTAAAACAAGAACTGGAATGGGATTTTAAAGTTATCCAATACTGTCTGCCTTTTGTTTTGCAGCTTGTAAACTAATGGGCAACTGAGTTTTTAATCAAAAGCCAGATTTAAGGAAATATTGCACTTATTAAACCGAGCAGTCTGCTGGAAATCGTATTTCTCTTGTCAGAGATGCCTTATGATTTGGGAAGAACCCCAATAGCCAAAATCTGGGCTACTTTTCACAATAAGCCTACAATGAAAGAATATTTCCCTTCCAATTCCGGAATGTGCAAATAATATCTGGGAAAACAAAGTACTAAATTAAATCCAGGAGTTATGAGGACTGTTACCAGGACACAGGGTTAAGGAGGAAGGATCGAGAAGATACTAGACCGAGATGAATTTATATGGTATTTTAAGCACAAAAATCTTATTTGTCTTTACCCATTCTTGAAAAAAAAAAAAGAAATCCCTATCCAACTTTTTGTCCCTGAGAAATACTGGTCTTTGGATTTCTTAGCTGCCCATTAGCATGGCCAGAGAGAAACTAAGAACTAGCAGATACTTGCAAATTATGGACAGCAAAAGAGAAGCAGGCCATAGGACTGCGTAGAACTGTTTCAATCTCACTTAAAACATTCACTGGAAAAAATGCAAGAATTTTTAAATATTTTTTTTAAAAAGTGAGCATTGTTTGGAGCTTGGTATCTGGTAATCAGGCAAAATTAATTGGATTGCTGACTTGGCCACAATGTATCCTTCGGAGTTCCTTCTCTTCCAACAACCCTAAAATGAATTTCCTAGGAAATTATATTCTCAACAGATCGTTTCTGCAAGGACTATTATTTTAGTTGTGCTAGATAATAGAATGTGTCTCCAATTGGATCTTTATTTATTTTTTTATAATCCTGCAAATATGGTGCAGGTATCCTTTGACTTACCCCTCACACCTACATGCTAGTCGTTTCTGGCTCTAGGGGGCGGTGCTCACCTCTGTTACAAAGCCGAAGAGCCAGCGCTGTCCAAAGACGTCTCCGTGGTCATGTGGCCGGCATGACTAAATACCGATAAGGCGCATGGAACACTGTTACCTCCCCACCAAAGGAATCTCTATTTTTCTACTTCCATTTTTACAAAATGCTTTTGAACTGCTAGGTTGGCAGGAGCTGGGACAAGTAACGGGAGCTCCCTCCGTTACACGGTGCTAGGGTTTCAAATCACCGAACTGCCGACCTTTCTGATCGACAAGCTCAGCAACCGCTGAACCACCGTGTCCCTTAACATGGATACAAGGAGGCTAATGTGACACAACCTTAGATACTTGCAACTGTAATACAACAATGGTAGTAACACCCAGACAATAGCAAAACGTTCCAATAAAGTTGTGGCTTATTGACTGTTCCCAGTTGTTTGACTTTGAAAAGCCTCTGCTGCAATTTGCCTTTTCTAGGAACCTAAAGATGTGGACTTCTGTGGTTTTCCGGCTACAGATTGACGTGACCTCTTCTTCTCGGTGTCATGTCACAGTTTGATGATGTGTCAGCTGATAACCTTAAGCCAAAGGCCTATTTCCAAATGGGAATGAGTTGGACTTCATCAACACCGAGAAGAGGAACTGTGGCCGAGAGAATGGTTTAGGAAGAGCCTCCCCTTTTCTTTAAACTATCTGCTTTCAAGTCCCTTCTTAAGTTGTAAAGGACTCTGTGCAGCGTACATACAGTCAGAGTGTTGCAAATAATCTGTCTATATATATATAAAAGCAAAATATCACTCATACATCATCACAAAATCTCCAGAACCGTAAAGCCTACAAACTTGAAATTTGGCATGTATGTTCCTCTTGGTTTCTAGGTGCTCGCTAACAAAGGATTTTTCAAAGTGACCGTCAGAGCATTAATATTTCCTAAATTATTATTAACACGCTCTGATGCTAAGGAGTTCTACTCCCCCTTCCCACCTGAAAAGAAATCTGTTCCAAGTGCAAAACACAAGCAGAGGAGAGGAGTTTCCGTTTCGGTTTCACAGCTGCAACCAGCTTTAGTACTAAACAGTTGAGCTAAGTCCACGCCCAGGCTCCTTGCTGTCTCCTTCTTGCTCACACAGCAAATACTGTTTCAGTGACAGGATGCTAGCCAGATGAATACTGATAGATGCTGATAGGCAGAGGCACAATTTGTTTCCCTTATTTTCCTCCCCAAAAACTAAAGCCGACCACATAGTTTCATAGCAAAGCACGGGTATCCAGCTACCTATATTATATTGGCATTCTCATGGATTCTAAAATTCCAAAATCAGAGATCAACGCTGCACAAACATAGAATTGAAGGGTTGGAGGGCACCTCAGAGGTCTTCTACTCCAATCCCCTTCTCAAGGCTTATATTGTCTCGGTCAAATGGTTGTCCAGTCTATTCTTGAAAACCTCCAGTGATGGAGCACTCACAATCCAGGGAAGCAACTGTTGTTCCACTAATTAACTGCTCTGCCAACTTGGCACTACACACAGATAAGAAGTAAAATTCATGAAAATTAATTTCTTACTTCTAGGTTGGGCCCCTAGAATCTTCCACCCTTCCCTTTTTTTTTCCTGCCCTCTAGCGCCCTATAGAATAAGTGTGACAGCCCCTCAAGTCCTGGAAGACAGCTATCATGTCCTGCACAATCCACCCAATCTCTAATATTTACACACAATAGGTGCTGAATAGCAGATTGTGCTCCACAGGATCTAATTTGACTGGAAGTTTCCATGGCAGTTTTCCAGACCAATTTGGGCTTAGCTCCAGACGAGTTCTTTACCTAGGAGACGTACCGATGACCAGGACGGTAAATCCCGAATGTCCTTCCATACAAACGGTCATGTAAACATCTCCTATGCAAATTTCACTGCTGGCTAATTCCTCCTAAAGCTCTGCCCACTCAAAACCTTGGTTCCCTGGTTGTGATTTTTGACTCAAGAGTTCACCAGCTGGCTAAAATGGCACACTGGATGCTGATCTCAAGTATGGCCAAAAAAAAAGAAGAAGCCATTTACTTACTTGTAAAATTGCCTTGTTGTGCGACGCCCCGCCGGTAGCCAAGATTTTTGTGGTTGGCACTGCAAGCAAAGAAGAAATTAAATTAATGGAGGTAGCGCAAGATCTTGTCCATCTTACAGAAAATTATGAAGGGCTACAACTTCTTAATGATAGAATTCATTAATAATGGTACTGAAAAGCTGACACATCTGTTAATTGGCTGAGAGGGCTGGATTTTGGCATGAAAGAGGATTTCATTCCAGTTCTGGATAAAAACAAGCACAATTCTGGCTTGACCCTTCAGATGCCAGATGCGAAGCAAGGAAGTTAGGCACTGGTACCAGACCCACCATTTACCTAGCTGAGGGATTCTGGGAGTTGAAATCCCTAAGTCAGTGATGGTTAACCTTTTTGTGGTTGCGTGTCAAAAGTGTGCGCGTGCATGTGCAACAGCGCTTGTGTGTGTCTGCACCCATAATTCAATCTGCATGCGATTCCCCCCTTCCCACTTGCCCCGCCCCCCCTGCGCATGTGCGCACAACCTCCTTCCTTTTGGGCCTAGTAGGCCTCCCTGCAGCCTCCTGGGAGCCAAAACAGGCCCTAGTAGGCCCTACTGCGGCCTGTTTTTGCTCCCAGGAGAGAGGCCTACTCGGCCCAAAACGGGGAGCATGGGCGGCATGCTGCCCCCGTGCACTCCCCTTGCCCCCATGCATGTGCCCCCCCCCGCCTTGCGCATGCGTATGCATCTCCTGCATGTACCTTGCTTCCCACGCATGCATGACAGTGATCCGAAAATCAGCTAGCCAGCGGGAGGCGCGCACGCGCATGCATGGTGGAGCTGAACTGGGGCGGCAGCTCACGTGCCTGCAGAGATGGCTCTGTGTGCCACCTGTGGCAGGAGTGCCATAGGTTCGCCATCACGGCCCTAAGTCTTAACAGTTCCCGAGTGTGGAAGAGCCCTGCTTCAATCACTGCGCCAAACTAGCTTAATTTTTACACTGCTGTTTTTATTTTCTTATTGCCTCAACAGGGCCTTAAAGTGTACAAAAAGAAATGAAAGAAGAGCCCTCAAGGCAGCAAATGATGCCAAGGAAGGCCTGGCAAAGGACAAGCCACCGTTTACTACCTTTTTCACAATGCATTACAATAAGTCACAGAATTCGGGTTTGTTTTTTTTTCCAGATTTTTATCTTGCCATTCCCCCCCCCCCCCCCATACACAGGTAGTCTTCGACTTACAACCGTTCAGTGACTGTTCAAAGTTACAACGACCGTTTTTCACGGTTACGATTTTTGCAGCTTCCCCTTGGTCACGTGATCGAAATTGAGACCCTTGGCAACTGGTTCACATTTATGACGGCTGCTGTGACCAGGGGTCATGCGATTCCCCTTTTGCGACCTTCTGATGAGCAAAGTCCATGGGGAAGCAAGATTCACTTAGCAATCACGTTACTATCTTATCAGCTGCAGAGACTCGCTTAACGACTATGGCAAGAAAGGTTGTAAAATGAGGCGAAACTCATTTAACAAATGTCTCACTTAAGGAAACAAATGTGGGACCCCACTGTGGTCATAAGTTGAGGACTACCTGTACAGCTCAAGGGTGAGAAGATACCTAACCCTCCTTCGTCCTCCTATTTTCCACAGAACAACAACCCTGTGGGGATTTAGGTTAAAAAACAGTGACTAGCCCAAGGTCACCCCAGCCAGTTTTTCATGCCTTGGGTAGGATTAGAACTCGCCATCTCTTGGTTTCTCAAGCCAACATCTTAACCACTATACCAAACTTTCACTCTGGCGAACTTGTCCAACTAGCTTGCTGGTAAACAATCTAAGAGCGATGGAGATCCATGCCTAGCAGGTTTCCTTAATCGGTATAATACTGAAATGAGGAAAATCTGCAGAAAGGTTGCAGTAGAAGGACTGCCGTTAAGGGGTGCCACCTGGCCAGGTTTTCATCATCATCAGATCTATTCTGAAATTACCTCCCCGTGGAAGTCAAGGAAGTAGGCTAGAAGGTGGTCGTCTTGGTAGTAGAGAGCATTTCATCAAGGCTGCCATAGTGACGCCATCTTTAACAGAACTTGTAACCTAGGATTAATGGTTGTAGCTATGATTTATGAACTACGACCTATTACTTTATATCAGTCATCCAGGTCATGGTTATCCCAAAGGTGCTTTTTCAAGAGGCAACTGGACTTTCTGTTTTTTCTTTGAAGCCATTTCGCTTCTCATCCAAGAAGCGAAATGGCTTCAAAGAAAAAACAGAAAGTCCAGTTTCCTCTTGAAAAAGCACCTTTGGGATAACCATGAACCATATCTGACAGGATAGTGAGGAATAGAAGGATTCAAATGCCTTGCAGACAGCTATTGCAGAATGCCTTGCAGTCACATTTGCATTCTTTTTTAGAGAGTCATTGAGGCCACCTGGAGGTTTACCTGTGTCATCACCTGAGTGGTGCAAATGGGTGTGGAGCTTTCTGGGAACTGTTCTTCACCATCCAGTCAGAGCTGAAGAAGCTCCTTGGATGAGAAGCGAAAGGTCTTCAAAGAAAAACAAGAAAGTCCATCTGCCTCATGAAAAAGCACCTTTGGGTTGGAGAGAGAAGTTCCCAGAAGATGGGCTCCAGCACGAGTCCAAAAGCTCAGAAGAGTAAACCTCTGGTCCCAATACCTGACCCAGATTGGATCCTGAAACATTATCCTAGGACACATATATATTTGCCTTCATTCATGAGTGTCGCTTTGCTCAAGTACGACACCCAGAGTCTTGGAGTGACCTCAAAACGATATTATGAATGTAGGAACTGAAGGCCTACACACCTAGAAGGAGCCAGGTTGGAGAAAATGCTTTACATTATCCTAATTTAACATTGCCATGGGATCTGGTATGACCTTGGCAGGAGACAGGAGGAAGAGCTGTAGAACTAGACAACAGACAGGTAAGAGGCAGCTGAGCCTGCAGAAAGAATGGGCCTGTGATGACCCAGGGTGGGGATACAAAACAAACACAGCCACAAAAAACAGGTGAAGCACCTTTTATTCCTTCACTTTGATTCCAAGCTCCAAATATCCTTAACGGAAGACAAAAAACTCCCATCTAACAAGCAGTTAGAAGAAGAAGGGAAAAAACAACACAAACCAGGCAACATAAGGGCTGGAGGATGTCCACAGATAACAGAACACACACTGGGAAGGACGCCAAACTCAGAGAGGAACCATAAACTAGAGATATTTCCATGCTTTGTTTCCAGCACTCGCCCATACGCATGTCCGTCCTCTTATTCAGTTGTCACAGTTGCAGCCCATGAAGAAGATCAAAGCCCTCTCCTACCGAGTAAACCACTTCTCTCCCTTATCCTCTCTTCCCTGCGTGCCCTAGGATGGAGAGGGGACGGACCTTGCCCAGCTGGCCTCTGCCCTTCCCCAGCCTCCTCCACCACCTCTGGAGCCACACTTGGCTGTTCCTCCTCTGACTCAGAGTCAGGCTCCACCAGGGGCATGACAGGGCCTAATCTGTTGGGCTAAAATGGTGAGAGAGGAAGCGTTGCACTTTCATACTTGAAAAACTGTTAGTGTCACTTTGCAATAAGGTTAGACCTAATATTTTCGGAGGGTGCTTCTTGTTTGTTTGGGCTTCCTTGCAAGGCTGGCAGGCATAGCATGACCAACAGCATAATGGCCTGCTTGAATTTTCTGAAGTTGTCCACAGGGGAGGAGGATGGTTTCGATCACCCTGTCAAGTCTTACCTTTTTTTTACACAAATGTCCCCCACCCCACACACTATGGAAACCTCCGGATTCTTTGGCGCAGGAAGTCCCGAATGCAGTCAAGATCAATGCTGAGAGTTTTGAGTGTCACTCACCAATAAATTTAATCAGAACTTCCTTTTCAGGGGAAATTTCAACGATGCACAAATTGGGTTTAAAAAGCCATTAGGTTCCACAATCACTGTCAATAAATAACTCAAGCACAGTCCAGTAATCCCTTGGAGAAAACAAATTTCAATACTACTCATACATGGTGGCAGAGGCTTGCCAATATCTGTAGAAAGGTGTTACAAAAGCCACAGGAAATCCTCTGAAAAACCACTACGCTCAGGAGGCTAAAGTAAACAAACATGCAAAGCCACAACTAAAAACATCACTTACGGTTTAACGGTCCTGAAAAGCATTTTTGTGCTACTCTACCAGATCTGAGATTGGATAACTATTTGTCTGAAATGGATGTTTCTTGTCTAAGCAGGGGGTTGGACTAGAACAGGGGTCGCCAACCTTTTGGACCTCAGGGACCACTAAACTCATAATTTTAAATCCCAGGGACCACTAACCGGTTCTGTGGGTGTGGCCTAATTTGTGGGTGTGGCTTGGTGGTCATGTGACTGGCTGGGGATGGCTTGTATGTAAATATTATAAATATTTATATAAATATTGAATTTTTTATTAAAAAAGAGCAACTTTTACCCAAAATCAGGCAAAGCAGACAGGCAGATTGACTTGCTCACACAGAATCACAGATTCATTCAGAAATCTGCCATTGGCTAGCTCAGACTGTCACATAAAATTTGCTTGCAAGCAAACTCATAAAATTAACTCACAACAAACCATGTATGTAAATATTGAATTTTTTTATTTAAAAAAGAGCAACTTTTACCCCAAATCAGGCAAAGCAGGCAGGCAGACTGAGTTGCTCACAGAATCATTCAGTGATCTATCTATCTGCCATCGGCTAGCTCAGTCTGTCACGTAAAATTTGCTTGCCGTGAGTCTGCACTGAATAATAGAACCTTCAGTCCTAAGGGAGGTTCGGCTGTGCTTAAAAGCAGAGCCGAAGATCTAAAGACTAGCAAGAAATCCAACCATTTCCTGCTTCCTAGCTCATCTAAATCTTCCGACACAGCAGAACAGGTGATGGTCGGAAAAAGTAAAAATAGCAACTTAGCAGACAAGTTTGCCGGGTAAGGAGTGAGTGGGAGGGGAAGGTTCCCACAGGCCATGTGGGTGGCACAGCCTTGTGTTTCTGCACAGCCTAGCCTTTAAGCATGGTATATAAAATCATACATTGCAATGTCCTACCTGTC